AATTTGTACTGCCGTGGCTTATCACTTCGCACTCTCGTTTCAATTTTATTCTGCATCTTCCCAAATATGCGTGTTTATGAGAGAATTTAATGCTCAACGAGTACTTTTTACCAATTTATATACATTTGCTGATACCATAGCTCATACATTCTGATTAAGCTACATCTTTTCTAATATAGCTGAAGTTTAAATGCAAATGTTTAAATTTTTTCCTTGTATAGCGAGTACTTAAAATGAGGAAGCTTTGTAACGACGATGCCTTTCTTAATTTATTGAAATTTTCATAAAACCTTACCTTCGACGAGGCATTACTGACTTTCTCCAAGCAGCAGCCAACATCAAATTAACCACTGCATCCGATGGAACGAAATCAAAAACTTTCGCTTCGTCACACAACATGCTTCGAAGTATTCCTTTCAATCCCTGAAAGTAGAACCGAACACTGTTTCGAGTACCCGACATTAATCGTGTCACACGGATTAAATTTTTGTGAAATAAAATATGCTTATTGCAATATTTACCTTTATTAGAAACTAAAATATGTTTTTAAAGAAGAAGAAGAATTTAATTCTACTTGTAAAAAAACCATCGGAACATAAAGATTCAAAAATACAGAATTAGAATTAGAAGCTAACTCATAAGAATCCACTTAATAACATTTTAAGTAAATGGTAATTGGTTAACTTCTAACTATAATTCCTGATTCATAAACGTAAATGTGGTTTTTTTTCAGTCAGTGTGATTAGACAGAGTTAAATTGAAAAGCGAACATTAGAAGAATAAGAGGAACGTAGAAATACAACAATTTACTAATACACCTATTGTATATTTAGTACTGTAAATGGTATTACTCGGATAAAAATGTTCTCTGAAGGATTTATCTGTATATCTAGATAAATTTTCGATATTTAAGTTCAAAAATAGCTAATCCTTCCTTCATTCCCAGAAATATTTATATACACTTACAATTGCGGCTACGTAATCTGTTCCACTATTGCCATCGTTCCATCCCTAAAAAGAAAACAAATTTGTACTAATTACACACAAACGTATAATGATTGTATTTTGTGGTAGAATAGAAATACTCACGGAAAAAGGTTCCTTCCAAGTGCAACCAACAATAGAAGGTCTTACAATGATTATAGGCAAATCTCTACAGAAATTATTTAAATAATTTTCTGTTATGGCCTTTGTTAAATGATAAGTACTGGGTCGATTTTCCAAAAGATTTTCTTCTGTTATTTGTACCGAAGCATTATTCTCTACACTACAATTAGAAAAATATCAACACGACGAACGTATTGAAAAACTTTAAAAATTAAATTGCAAAAATATTGCATTTAAAATGTCATAATATAGTACTTTGCAATGTTCTTAAATTCCTCGTAACTTCTGGCCATTGTATAGATTTTTTCATCCACTTCCTTTCTGTCGCAGAAAGAATAAGCGGTAGATGCGTGTACGAATGCCTGAAATTATATTTAATTTATTCAATAATCCCCAAGAAAATTTATACTAAACAATAAGTGGAATGAGTATTGAAAATAATGTTTTATCCTAACGATATAGCATTTTCAAAATTATTTTTAATTATTAATAGAAATTGTAATCGAAATCGCTGAACATTACGAAGACATGTAAAAATATTTTGTGTTATTTCAGCGAAAAACGCAAAACATACGAAGTATTTCAGCTGATTTGATTTAAAAATGAAAATTAAACTATAAATACGAAAAAGTTCTGTGCTAAATTCAATTCCGTGTACATTTAGAACTTATCTGCAATGAAATTATTACCAAATATTTACCACTAAATTTTTCATTCGACGACAAATTTCTACTACATTTTTTGTCGTTTCTACGTTATTGACGAACGAATCTCTGCAAAATAAATTAAAATAAATGAGCAAGTCACAAAATGATCTGCTTAATTAGAGTAAAACTTACCGAAAAGATTCATCGAATTTAACAGAAGCGGCCAAGTGAAACACCACCGAAACATTCTTCGTTATCAAATTCATATGACACGAGGAAATTCCTAAGTTCTCACAAGTGAGGTCCCCTTCGATGCATTTAACTTTATCCGTAATTTCCGGATTATTCAGTAGAACATTTTCGAAAATCTTTTGTAAATATAATGAATATATTAGAAATTCGATAACAAATTTGATTGTGTAAGGTAACGCAAGCGAGTAGAAAAATCGGACAAATTTGAGTTGTCGTAATTGTGTTCGATTCTTTATAAAAATGTACTCAATTCTGACAACACGAAGACATTTATTAATTAAATAAACCAGCAACGAGTTGCTCAACATTTCCGGAAATCTTTAAAATATCGGTGCTGCCATCTGTTATCGCATTTTTATGCGATAACAGATATCACGTAACTGTTATAAAAATGGATAAAAAGCCTAATTATGAGGGTAGAGGTGGGTTTTATAAAAAAAATTGTAAATGACAATTTATTGTTAAAATAATATAAGAAAATTAAGTATATTGGCATTGTCATACACGTGATTGCTTTTACGCTAATTTGATTAAAGTGACGTCGGATTTCCTTTATAACCCTTTTCCCTTGGGGTGGGATTAACAATTCTTGGAACCACTGAGTACAAAGAGATGAATGAAGTCCTGATGAAAGAGGAGAAAGGACATTCTTTACCCAGACCTTGAGGTGGATAGACAAGAGTTGTGTTCCAGGTCGCGTTTGGCAATGATTGGAAAGTACAAGTGACTTTGATGAAAGGATCAGGTTTTATCGTGATTACGACGAATCAGTGTGACAATTAAGTGTATACGTTAGGGGAGCATAAGAATTTTAGAAAGGCTTAGGTGGGGCATAGCACAAAAAAGGTTGGAAAACACTGATCTACACACTGCACGGCTAGAACTTACAAACTTACCTCAACTCTAGTTGAAGCACTGAACATCAATTCGTTACGGAATGCTTACTTCATTTGGTGGATTTACCTGGAACTAACTGGACGGCAGACTAACAATGGGGAAAATATACAGGAATTAACTCTTCTCTTCTTAGAGAAAAACTGATTTCATATTTGGATTCAGCAAAAAAAAAAAAATTTTTTTTGTAGGCTTGTGTTATAGAACGATCGTAAACGTTCCAGAAACGTTGAAAATAGTTCGTTTGACTAGACGTAAACAGGAGACGTTCAGAAATAGAATCGGAACCAGGAAGTGTTAATATAAAGCGGCATGCAAGATTTACAGGCGGTTTTTTGCGCTTTTGCGGGAAATCGAACATATTTTTATGCTCATGTAAAAATTTTCTGGAAACGTCTGGAAACGGGAGACCTAATTCTTGAATTCTGTGAAAACGAGTAAGATTGGCTATAATGTAATTATCTTAATCTTCACTATCGTTACTTTTTGCCCACAAATAAAAACCCAGCGAAGCGGGTCCTTGCAGCTAGTACATATATATATATATATTTAGATAGGGATTGCAATCCAGCAGTGTTTTTTATCCAGCTGGATATTTGCTGGATCAGCATCATTCCAGCTGGATCTAGCGCAGATGTATTTTTGGTGCAATAAAATGTTATCTATCTATCTATCTATCCAGAAATGTATGGTTTTTTTAAGAAATAAAACCTTTTTTTAATACTGTACTTAAGAATCTTTTATTATGTAGACTGTTCACTATAAATCAGTAAAACTTCTTACACATTTAGGTACAGGTAGGCCTCCTACAACGCGGTACCTTTACAACGCGGTTGAAAAAATGCGGAAATTTTGTTACAACGCGGTTTACGGTATTTAGAAACGAATTATCTTTCACATAACAGAAAAATCGCAACGGATCATGTGATACGAACCGCAGTTCGGCATACAGAACTAAATGTCCTTGAAAACAGCTGTTTGTCGCTGTTGGCGTGTTATTTATTCCCTTGAAAGTTTCTGGGGAAGAGCGGTTTCTAGACAGATGTGCATCAGTTACCGTAAACACTCAAATATATCACTAAATTTTCCATCATTTGTACTGTTTCAATAAGTGGGGACAGCAAAAATGGTCCAAAATCTAAATATATAAAACTCAAAGGTGACTGACTGACTTAGTGATCTATCAACGCACAGCCCAAACCACTGGACGGATCGGGCTGAAATTTGGCATGCAGATAGATGTTATGACGTAGGCATCCGCTAAGAAAGGATTTTGATCAATTCTACCCCCAAGGGGATAAAATAGGGGATGAAAGTTTGTATGAAACTTTGTCAATTTTAAACCGATCGGGCTGAGACTTTGCATGCATAAAGCTACTATGACGTAGGCATCCCCTAAGAAAGGATTTTGATAAATTCCACCCCTAAGGGGATAAAATAGGGGATGAAAGTTTGTATAAATCTTCTTAGATTTTCGACTGATTGAACTGAAATTAAAGATTGGAGCTACTATGATGAAGACGTCCGCTTAAATAGGATTTTGATAAATTCAACCCCCATGGGGATAAAATAAGGGATGATGGAGGATGTAAATGTATTAGTTTGAACCTATCAGTACCTAATGGAACGAATAAATTAAGACGAACAAAATAATTTTTAGTTCTAAATGTTGACAATAGATGGCGTTAGTAGTATTTTAAAACGCGCTATCGTTGTGTTTTCACTGAGTTACATATACCCGATGATGAGTGGCCGCCGTATCTAATAGTACATACTATACCTAAATATTTCTAGCGGATTATATTTGACGATTTTGGCTGTTCTTTTCTTGGCATATTTTGGATTGCATTTGCTTTGTTTCGGTTTAGTAGTTTTGGTTATAGACTCTGCTTTGTATTTGGCATTTGTTTTGTTTTCGTTTGGTTTAAGTATAGGTTTTGTCGGTTAGACTTTTTTAAAATGGCTAAAGAAAATCTGAACGTTAATGGAGAAGTTGAAGAATGTTCTCTCATGGACAGTTTTATGTTGCTTGCTCACGAGTAAGTTCACCCAATAGCTTGATAGTTTTAGCGCCTAATGACAGATTAGTTAAGAATATTGTGTACAAAGAAGTTTTGTAGGCCCTAATTTTTTACACACGCTAAACAAAAGTAAAGCCGCAAAAACTATACCTAATTAATAATAATACTTCTTAACGCGAGCAAAGGCGCGGGCAAAAGCTAGCACAGTATAAACTTCTATTGGGTGTATATTTTTTACAACATAGTGAAGAAAAGTTATTTTTTGCGATTTTTACTGTCCACAAAATTGATTGAAAAAATTTTAGCCATAACAATGCTGAATGAAAAGAAAGGGCCGTCGTTAAAAAATAAAAAATTATAACTTTTCAAAGATAGAAATTTTGAATCAAATTAAAAATCAAGAGCGGATAGCTGATATTAGTAGGCATTTTAATTTAAATAAGTCGACTATTCGGTCGGGAGAAAACATCAGAAATTTGGTCGCATCCGGATCATCTATTCTCGCGAAAAATGTTGCTCGTCCGAGAGCACCTATAATGGAAAAAATGGAACAAGCGCTAATATTATGAGTAGAAGATATGAACATGAAACGGTTGCCTTTAAATAAAAGTGCAGTTAAACACAAAGCCTTAAAAATATTTGATTATTTAAAACAAATGGGACAGTCGTCCGCTGATGAAGCCAGTGTTAAATTCGTAGCTAGGAATGGCTGGTTTGAAAAATTCAAAAAACGCCATTCAAACGGCAAGTTTTTCTCTTTTTAGAACCGAATCCCAGTTTTTGTATTAAGTTGGTGTCTTTTATAACGCGATTTCCCACAACGCGGTATTTTCAAGGAACGTATCTAGAGCGTTGTAGGAGGCCTACCTGTAGTAAGCTCAACTTTGGTTCGGTTTAACACTTGAGATAAAGATAATTAACTTTAAATGTTTAGTTAGATTATAATTATAATGTAATCTTAAAGTTAAATACAGTGGTACCTCAGGATACAAAATTAATTCGTTCCGAAACTGAGATCGTATCACGAAAATGTCGTAAGGTGAATCATTTTTCCCCATACAATTACATGTAAAACCAAATAATTCGTTCCAACACCAAAACACACTCAAATTAAAGCTAAGTAGTACATTAAAAAAAGTATAGTAAGGAAAACAATGAAAAATGCGTTTTGTAGTTCTAAATATATAAATACCCATAATAGAATAATAATTGATTAAAAAAAATGTAGTTTTATTTGCACTTTACCTTCGAGGTGAAGGTGTAAACTGGTGGCGGAAGAGACGGAGAAGGGAAATGATACTAAAAACTTAACTTACATAACATAATGTAACAATAACTTAAAAATAACTTATAAAACAACACTAATTTTTTAAATTTTTTTTCTTTTTTAATTTTTATTCACTTCTTTTTGCTTTCTATCCTTCACTTCCACCAGCACTTTCACTGGATAGAGGTCGCATCAGTAGCGTAGCGTAGTGGGGGCGGCAGGGCGGCCCGCCCCGGGCGGCGCCTTTTAGGGGCGGCAAAATTTCACAATAAATAATAATAATATCTTGTAAAAAGTTGAACCATTTTATTTCATATTTTCGTCCACTTACGACTCGGACCGATTGAAATGAGCACGGAATAGTGTTACCATCCATCCGGACAGTCAGGGAATCGACTCGCCGTCCGGGGATATCGTGCGCGACCTGTCGACCTTTTTATTTTTTTTCTTTTGCTTGTACGATTTATTCGCATATATACAGTCGACCTCCCTATAAGATCACAGATACGTTCCATTCTTTAGGAATCCGATTTTTTACGGGTCCTTCCAATCACAGCCCGACACGTGTCAAGTTTACGGACACGTGTGATTGTTTACGGCTATTTGAAAGGTTTTCTTCCATAAAACTAATCGATTCTAGACTAATTCTACTCAACATTTCCAAAATACGTTTATTTTTTGGGAATAATCCGTATAAACTACGCTATAAACAAAAAATTGTAGGATTACTTACCGAGTGTGCACCGCCATTGCTAAAGCTTGTTTTTGTCGCGGAACAGCACACGATACAGCGGCCGATTTCTAATAACTTATTTTTCTACGAAAACTTCGTTGAACTTTGGAGACATCATTAATATAAATAATTTTAATCGCCGTTGAATAAGAAATGTTTCTTTCACAAGAAATGCACAAAATTACAGTACTGTATTAGACTTACGGTACCTATTTTACATACTATACAGACGATAGTTAGCCGAAACTCTCCATAGCGTGGCGCTACGCGGAGGAAAATATATATAAAATTATAATAAAGTTACAATAAATTAAGTTAATATGTAATTATATATACCGTACCTAATATATATATAATTAATATATAATTATACGTACAGTACCTAATTAATATATAATTTATATAATACTGTCCAGACGATAAAAATCTCTCCGTAGTGTGGCGCAGGGCAGAGGAAAATAGTTCGGCTGCCCGATGACGTTTTAAGTAATTATAGAAGTTTTTTTTATCTTTTTTTACCACATACCGTCACAATTTTTTCACAGTTTTATAGGAATCGTAATTATAGGGAAGTCTACTGTATATACACTTTCAATATTCAATACAGCTAGGTCACTTGCGTTACTCCTATCCAAGTCTCCCTAGTCGATAATTATAACCGATTTAGAACCAGCATGCACTACAAATTAGTCTTCGCGTTGCAAAATGACATACGCATGCGTCAGGAACTTCTGTTGGAAGAAACCTCACCTCCTGTCCGGCTCAGCGATTTTAAAAAAGTGGCAACACTAGCACGGAATTTTTCATTACTTATTCTGTGACGAAACTGAATTTTAGTCTTTTAAATTGAGATACCTAAATAAGGAGGAAGCGAAAATTTCCTCCGCCTCGGGCGGCTGACACCCACGCTACGCCACTGGGTCGCATGGTAAAATATCTATCCATAGAGGTTTGGCTTTGCCTACTTTTTAAAATGTTTCTAAAATGACTTAGGCAAATGTAATTACTCCGAGCAGCAATACTGCCAGTGTGAACCTTTTTGGAATGTTTCTTTTCAATAAAATCAGTCACTTTCTGATAATACCTCAAGATTTCTTTTATCGAGCGAGATCCTTCCACGACGAAGCAAACACGCGGACCGAGACCGATGAACAGAAGTGAGTAAAAACTGGCGCTGCGAACTAATGTAACGTCGTATAATGAGTTTTTGTTCGTATGGTGGAACAAAAATTTGTTCGAATTTCATGTCGTATCCTGAAAATTTCGTATGCTGGGGCGTTCGTATCCTGAGGTACCACTGTAATAGCAAAGGTAATTCTATTAATTAATTTATATTAATATATTATATTATCATAATGTAAGGACGGATAATAAGTGGCTAAGTGGCTATCAGTCTTACCAGTTTTCTTATATAGACTCTAGGCTCCATATCAGTCTGTGGTTATTTATAAGTAATTTAATTATTAGTGTTAGTAAAGTAGTTAGTAAGTAATTAGTAGTAGTCTAGTATTTATGTTGTTTTCGAAACCGTGTTTTGCGAATATATTGGACTTCGAACTCACATTTGAGTTACAGTAGAGCGTCGTTTATCCGAATCAATTGGGGACTGGGGTTGTTCGGATAACTTGTTTTTCGGTAACCGATTATGTACGAAACAATATATTAATCTATCCCATGTTGAAATTTTTCTCCGTTGCGTGTCGCTTCGCGTTGAATTTTCGTGGATGTTAAGCCTAACGAAAACTTTTTAAAATAATAATCGTGGCTATTGTACCATTAAAAATTCTTTTTTTATTATATACAAACAAATTAAATATATTGAAAAATATAAAAACCAAAAAAGTATACTTTAGATATACTTTTTTGGTATAGATCTAGTATCAAAAATGTTCGATTCAGGACGAAACACAATCCTCAGAAAAACACCACACAAAAGTGCCAGTGCTGCCAGCTAAAACACACACACCAACCGAAAAAATATTGGAGTAGCCCAAGATATAGCCAAAGATTTCAGCGCCACAGCACTAGCGAAAATTTAAATTTGCCGACTGGAATGCTTTCGGATAACCGACGTTTCGGATAAACGACGCTCTACTGTCTAACTAAACACTTGACTTTATTTCCATCATTTTTAGTTGATACGTGACAACAGCACGTTTCAGACATAAAGCCCCTCATCAGTCAACTAAAAAATATATACAATTTTTAAACATTACATAAAATATTTTAGAAAACAAAATTAAAATAACGTATGTTTCTTACCATATTCATTTTTAATCTGTTATACATACAAGGTCTTAATTGATGCACACAACATATTTTACAATAAGTGGAGTAATTTCATTAAAAATTTTTTATAAATGATTTTTTTATATATTTTTGACAGTATCCAGGGGTCATAGACATAATCACGTACATATCTCAAAATAGAAATAGACGATTTGTTGCATTATTCCTTTTCAACCGTACCTGCGTTACATACTGCATTGCAAACCAGTACAACACTGTAAGAAACATACGTTATTTTAATTCTGTTTTGTAAAATATTTTATGTACTCGTAATGTTTAAAAATTTTATATATTTTTTAGTTGACTGATGAGGGGCATTATGCCTGAAACGTGCTGTTGTCACGTATCAACTNTTAAAAAATACAGTATTTTTAAAGTTGAAATAAGATTAAACTAACGAAAACCAAAAGCAAAGTGATGGAGAGATAGGAAGCGCTTGTATATTGATGACGTAATACACGTAACTGAGGAGCGAACGAAAAGAATCGAGTCGAATTAATTAAGTCGGAAAAAAGAAAGTGTGCGTTATAATCGAGAAAATGCGAGTATTGTATTATTCTTTAAAATATTGGTGTTAAATTTGCCTTATAATATCGTGACGACTCCTGTAAATCGGGTTATCCGATAAGAATAAAGTACAATATCATTATAGCCCTATCATTGAAAAATTTCGCTTATTTTTGCTCGCCTCGAGTTTCGCTTAGTAGAAATGGCTAAAAAGTGCGCAAAATACGTGCGGAAATACGGTATTACGGCATCACCTGTATTGGACGACCACCTGTCTAAAAGACCACTTTTTGAAGGAACCGTGGGTGGTCGCCATAGAAAGGTTTTACTGTATATAAAAATGAATGTATATGTGTGTGTGTGTGTGTGTCCTTCATGCATTACCACACCGTTTATCCGATTGCCATGAAACTTTGGAAAGTTTTTTTAATTTTTTAATACACTTCCGCGAAGTACATTTATCCTACGATAGATGGCGCGCGTTTACACGAGCATTCGAGCACTGCGTGTTCGATCCATTTCACATTGTGAAGACCATTTCCTCCTTTTAAAAAATATTTCTATATATGCATTTGTTATTTACGATATTTGTAATAATTTTTTTAATCATATGATGGTTTTACCCACACGGGGTAAAACCACACAAACTTAGTAAAACTATCTACTACCGTGAATATGTGCTGGTAGTTTTTGTTCGTTTATTGTAGTGGTCCGAGAAAATCTACATGGTATGTGCTCAAAGGACTGTCCCCTTTTGGTATGGGATTTAATAGGCTTTCACCTTTCCCCCTTTTCCTATTATATAGTATGCAGTCGACGCAATTCAGTATGACATTTTCTATGTGTTTTCTAGCGGTTGGGATATAAAAATTGCATTTTAGAAGATCTTCCGTCTTCGCCGCTGCAAAATGACCTTTTCGGTGTATGTGTTTGATTATGTCAGTTTGCATCGATTTGGGTACAACGTACAGTTCTAGTCCGTTTTCGTATTTATATAAAACGTTATTTTTCAGTACATAATCATTTGTCTTTCCTTTTCTCGCTGAATCCTTAAGAGCTTTTATATTTTCGTCAGTATCCTGTGCAGAAACAATTCTTGTTGTCATTTCGTCGGAAGAACGCGTAATTAGTAAAACTGCCTTGCGGCTTAGTGTATCCACATGCTTCATCTGGCTGCCTTTCCTATGGACAACTTCATAGTCAAATTCGTCAAGTAATAAAGACCATCTTGCTAATTTTGGAGTAAGCTCCTTCTTTCCGAGTGTTCGTTGAAACGCAGCACAGTCCGTAATTATTTTAAATTTCGAACCCAACAAATAGTTTCGAAAATTTTTCAAGCCCTCGATTACAGCTAGTACTTCTAACTCGTAACTGTTATATTTTTCTTGCTGAGGCGATGTTTTCCTACTCATATAATTGATCGGGTAATACTTTCCGTTGTCAGCTCGTTGTAGCAAAACTGCTCCGAACCCGAGGCAACTTGCATCCGTATTGTTTTTAATGGAGCGCCACGCTTGAAAATATGGAGAACTGGACTTTGTGATAGCATGTCCTTCAATTTTTGAAATGCTTCTAGTTGTTCTGGACAGAATTTGAATTTTACGCCATCTCTAAGCAAATCGCTTAAGGGTTTCGCTATCTTCGAATAGTGTGGAATGAATTTCCTAAAATAACCCGTGAGTCCTAGAAAGCTTTGAACATGTTTTACGGTTTTGGGTTGTGGAAACTTTTGAACGGCTGCTGTTTTAGTCGGAGAAGGTCTAATTGTTCCGTCTTTGATGACATAGCCGAGAAATTCTACTTCGTTCTTTAAGAATTGACATTTTTCGAAATNCATTAAAAATTTTTTATAAATGATTTTTTTATATATTTTTGACGGTATCCAGGGGTCATAGACATAATCACGTACATATCTCAAAATAGAAATAGACGATTTGTTGCATTATTCCTTTTCAACCGTACCTGCGTTACATACTGCATTGCAAACCAGTACAACACTGTAAGAAACATACGTTATTTTAATTCTGTTTTGTAAAATATTTTATGTACTCGTAATGTTTAAAAATTTTATATATTTTTTAGTTGACTGATGAGGGGCATTATGCCTGAAACGTGCTGTTGTCACGTATCAACTAAAAATGATGGAAATAAAGCCAAGTGTTTATTTATAACTCAAATGTAAGTTCGAAATCGAAGTAGTCTAGTAGTTAGCGGATTGAAGACATGTCTTCAACTCATTGAATAGTAACCATTGGTCAGCGGTTGAATTTAGTGTCTGATTAAAAGTGTCTATTAAAACTTTATCGATGCAAACTTTTACACTGAGGAAACTGTTCCACCTAGTGCAGCAGTCAAGAATCAAACTCAATTCTTTGTCTTTTGCCTCTTTTACATATTTTTGCAAAAACATATCATCTTTGGTTGGCGATTTTTTAAAAGTCGTATTCTGTTGTCAAGTGTAGGCCTCAGGGTGGAGAGAGAAGTGGGCCATGATGTTGTTTTTTGAGTCAATGAAAGTCGCAGTCACGGTGTTAATGGTTTTCGATCTGTCAGTAGCAACAATGGTGTTTATATTTTGATGGTCTTCCCATTCCTCAAAGGCGTAGTACTAGCCGACCGCGTGCGACAGCGAACGTGTCGGTATCAATATCTGCCGGACTGCCTGTTAAACACGCGATAGGCTTAGCGGAGAAAGCGACGCGACTCCCTATCATCGCGCGATCGCCGGAAAATAGTATGAAAACATTCTTATTTTTTGACTCAGGTAAAATATCGATTGAACTAAAATAAAAAGTTTTCTATTAGCTAGTGGGGTCATCTCCCACTAGCCAATGCGCTGGATCCAGCTGGATTGCTGGATGAGGGATCCAGAAATTGCAATCCCTAGATATAAATTATGTCACTGATGGTTAGAAATAAACTCACCCAGTTCTTTTTACCAACTTGCTTCTTTTTTGCCTCTGTAATACCGTTCTAATAAACGCTAACTTTAGTATTGTGACGAAACAACCATTCTCTCGACGGTTATGATGGCTTTAAGGTTTACGTATACATCCAACTGCAACCTCTAGAAACCGCATGTGAAATTGAAAGGAAACGTGAATACTCAACATGTAATTAAACTTAAAATGAGGGAATATGTTACTCGTCTTTATGGAGTAGGAAACATGGTGCAATACTAAGCATGGGCATGACAGGAATTTGCTCACACGTTGGACTGTACTCACGCTGCGAACATTCATTACATTAGAAATACAAATACATTGATTGATTGTTGCGTAATATGCTCCAATATATTCATTTTCTCGTTTGTTCTCTAGAAAGAGCAAGTATAAATAAGCCGTAACTTCTGTCTACACTTTTCACAAAATCTTCGTACGAAGGAAGTATCACGTGCCCTTCCGATTATTTAAGCAAAAATCGCATTTCTTCGGGGTAAAATTTAATAAATGTAAACTGTACGTTTGAATTTTCGATAAAATTGTAACTCTTACAGAAAATATGAGTAAAATATGTAATATTTTAAGCTACCAAACAATAGTTTAGGTTTCATGAAACAAATGTATTCTAGAAAATTTACATTTTAACTTACTTTAGAACGAAACAATTCCGTCTTCCTCTCTTCCGCTGACATTCCTTTTTTGCTTCTGATTAAAACGTAAATCTTTTCATTATTGCAGGACCTTAGCAATTTCTCTAAAAGCACCTTCAAATATTACAAAGATAAAGCGAAAATGAGTATACTTGAAATATCTGTGTATAAAATTATGACGTAGAAATACTTGCCTGTCCCAAAGATCCTGTTGCTCCCGTTACAAATATCTCACGACTTTCGTAAAATTTCGATATGGACATATTTTCTTCTGCAATTCTTTCGAATATCCTCTTAAATGAATCAAAGCGAAAAAGATAAAACAAAAAATTTATCACAAAGAGTGAGAATTGCACTTTCCCCATTTTGAAAGAATTATGTCATTAATATATAGATGTTTCGTATCGTAAAAACGTTTACCAGATAAAAGCAAAAATTCTCTTAACTATACCCCAGTCATAATCATAAGGTTTCGGGAGTGGTTTAATAACACGTAAACGTTGAATTAATTCATTAAAATTTTTTCGCCTTCTTAAAGTTAATTCTGCATTTGAATGTACATATGTCAACGTTTTTCTAATCTTCGAAACAAGCTTTATAGCTGATTTCCTAGAACCTCTTCGACATTCGCAGAGAGTCTTGCTTTATGGCATAAATCGACTCGAAACGATGACCGTCAAGCGGATATTTTATTCTAGGAAACGGGAAAAACCACATATTATCAGGAAGCATGCGAAGCCATATCTGTCGAATTTCAAACCATAGATTCGAGTGGTGTTTTTGGTCTCGCTCCATTTTTCGTGTGCCTTATATTCGATTATTACACGAATTCTAAAATAAAGACAATCCTTGATATCTTTCTTAAAACATTATTAGATCATTAGAGAGAAACATCATAAAAACCTATGTTTAAATGCAAAATAAACCGGTCATTTAAGTGTGAGAACGGGGGATTCCTGGTTTATCCCCTTCCACATACAGATTGGACACGACTTGTTTATTCCAATTGGTGTCAGCACTGACAAGGGCAAATCTCCGAGTAGCCGAAATTATAAAGTCTTAATCGAAATTTTAGAAGGGTATATCTAATTTGAAGGTGAATCGACAATGAAAGTAAGCCTTAAATTAATCTAAACAAGTTTATAATAAAACTGCAAATTTAATTATCAAAAAGAAGATATAATACTAGTATGGAACTTGATTTACACCAAAGTATTACAAAATTATAATAGCGAATACAAAATATGAATACTGCTAAAATTAACTCACTATTTAATCTAGAAAGAAAGAGTTTACATAACAGGTATATCACCTTAATGTATAGTACAATGCCTCGAGTGATTGGTGAATGTAGGAGAACTTCGCAGGAGCTTCGGACACAAAAACAGCAGTCTTTTTGTAGGTGAGCAAGAACTAGAAACGAGCGAACCCCTGTTGTGAAAGTGACCTCTCTCTTTTATAGAGAAATTTCTTCCTAAATATGCGTAAATCCCTCCACGCCCTCGACGCGTGACGGAAGTCGGGGTTAGTTCCGTAGTGGGATGTGTCGAGATCTCATGTTTATAATCACGTGCAAAGAGAATGACGTTATCTACCTCCAACAAAGTAAAATATAATGATTATTTGTGACAAAATAATACTTTAAAATGTATTAAATTCAAACAAATTTAAAACGTATCTCATTCCGATTGCTGCAGTCGAATTAACCATTCTATATTTTCACATCGAATATATATTTAGTTAAATTACGATATATCATAACGTTGTTAAAATTTCTATTAAAAAAATAGAAGAAAATATTCCTGAACATTTTCATATATGTATAGTTAGACCAAACACATTTCTACAGTTAATTCAGATGAATTATTTGATTAAACTGTTATAAACACGCAACATGTTCTAAATAAATTTAATTACAAATAAAAAATCTAAAGTAATATAAAAAATTAAAAGGTTAAAATACTAATTGAATTATTCAAGAATAAAGCAGAAAATGCAACAATAATCACAAATTATAAATTAAAATAATGAGTAGAATTGTGTATGAAATAATTGGAAATATTTTAATTCATTCCTCTTAATAAGGAATCATTTTATCTGTATATGAAATTATAATCCTAATTAATTTGCTAGAAATGATTAAAATGGCATATTTACTAATGTAATTATATTTGTAAACTGTAATAAAGTAATAATTATTGTTTGTTGTTTTTTAGAAATGTGACCTTTGGGTAACAGTATCGAAAAATCCTTAATTGTTTCCTGCATTACGGAATTTTATCAATTGCATTACGCAATTCTGTGTATAATTGTACTAGCAGAAAGCCCGGCGTTTCTGGAGGAAAAGTAACGATAGGGAAGATTAAGATTATTACATTACAGGCAATCTTACTTGTTTTCAGAGAATGCAAAATTCGGTCTCCCTGTCTCCAGATTAATTAGAGAATTTTTAGATGGGTCTAAAAATATGTTCGATATCCCGCAAAAATTCAATAAACCGCATCTGCGCCTGTAAATCTTGCACGTTGTTTTCTTTTAACATTTTTATTATTGTCACTTTCATTCTTAACAGTTCCATTGTTAGCATTTCCATTATTACTTAACACTTCCATCGTTGAAGTTTTAATCCTGTTTCTCTCCCCCGTAAAGGAAAGTTCGAAAATTCCTTTTTTCTTGTGCGTTCTCGTGACGTACTCTTACTGTGTACCAAATTTCAACTTTCAACTCCTAACCGTTTGTTATTATTATCAACGCCTCTCGATTATATATATAGACTAGCTGTTACCCGCGACTTCGTTTGCGGAGGTTTTGCAAGCAAACCCCATTTACATTCAATATTTTAATAACTATAGTAATCTATATACAGTGAAAACTGCTTAGGCAACCACCTGCATTCGACGGGCACCTGTCAAAACGGGCAAAAATTTCTGGCACGGAATAGTTTATCCATAGAGTCTTCGTATAAGTTACCTGTATTAAACGACCACCTGTGTAACGCGACCGCGGGCATCGATTTTTGGTCCGAAACAACATACAACACCTGTAATAAGCGACCACTTTCGCGAATGTATCTGGTCTAAACTACGGTAAGAACCCATCTCAACAACGTTTCC